TCAACTGGCTAATAAAGTGCTGAGATTACGTGTGATAGGGGGAGCATTTAACTAGCTAATACGACGTTTTTTAATTTCCTTCACGTTCCCCAGTGGAACATAGGGTTTCAAGCTAGTGGCGTGAAGTTTCTGTAGCAGTGTTTATTTTACAGGATGGGGTTGCTAGCCTCATGCCCAACCTTTCCTCTTCACCAGCGTTATTTCTGGGTTAGCGAGGTAAAGGAGTGCGTTGGCAGGAGACCGAACCCCGGACCATGTGCATGGTCGGCGAGCGTCCTAACCACTATGCCACCGACGCGGCTAATACGACTAATTTCCTCGAAATCTTTATTGATGTTTAAATTTAGGGCTCCTCTGCTTAACAAGACATTGTCAAGAACCAAGATTACAATATTCAGCACTACTGAAAAGCAAATTATGCTTGATACATGTTATGTTCCATACAATAAACTCCCCACCGTTTCAACATTGTAGCTGGTGATAGATAGAAAATATAGGACTGTCAACCTTGACAACAAACGGCGCTAACCTTTAGTAAATGTGTGTACTATCGATGACAAAATCGTTCGACAACGGTAGTAAACAGTCAAAGAGAGACAGAGTAGCTCTGTCTTGTATGCCTCTATTTTCAGTGATGACGCAGGTTATTTCAAATGCTACTTCAGATTTCTGATAAGTAATGCATAATGATAGCATCCAAGAAGAGCGATAAAAAAGCACATGCTTACTAAGAGTATTAAATGACTATTAAGATATGACACATATCGAAAAAGTACACAATCCTGCAACTTGTTTGTTTTGCTACCTATAAGTAGAATGGTACTATCATGAGTTCCAAGTGGGAAATATGACTCAAACTTTTGAAGTTCCAGTAGCAGCGGGGGTGTTGCTTATTTACGCACTGTTAGATAGTTCACCTCAAGCCCAACCTTCACTTTTTCCGGACTTTCCAAGAAAATTAGGCGAGGTCTAGGGAGTATATCATCCTGGAATCAAACCCGGACGGTCGGTCGGTTTTCGACATAGAACTTTGCACATATGTGTGGCAGTTCAAGTTGCCACACTCTCTCCTTGTAGCACACAAAGCAAGAAAAGAAAGTAGGAGAAATGCAAAATAGAGATAGTAGAAAGGGATATGACACAAAAGGAATACTAATAACGAAGAACAAAACAGTTTCATTGGAAATTATAAGTCACAATGAGTGGATGCATCTGCGCCAGCCATTGAGAACAACGATTTTGAGCCATATCAACAATTGTCTCCAGCCCTCATTGGTGTTTACCGTCCCGAGGACCCGAACCAGTCAGGAAGTCTACACCTTCCCACGTGGCTGGCTTAAATTAACTGTTGTGGATTTCATTGACTGATAAAGCCATGTTTTCGTTTGACCACCGCTCTCTCTTTTCCAACCTGACCCTATGTCAGCTAACATTGCCCGTCGGGGAAGGTGATGACTAGACATACGTAAGACATGTCCCAACCATCTCAGTCGATGTAATTTCACAGTCTTGTCTATCGATTTCCCCTCCCACCTACCTAGCACTCGACGCCTAACCTCAATATTGCTCACCTTATCATACCACTTCACGCGGGAGATAGAACGCAGACACCTATGATCGAAGACAGCTAATCTTTTCATGTCTTCCACTCTCAATGGCCAGGTCTCACATCCATAAAGGAGGACAGAGCGGAATTCTGAGCTGTACACACGCCCTTTGGTCGATAGTCGGATATCACGTCGACGCCAGAGATGGCGTAAACTGGCATATGCAAAACTAGCCCTCTGTATCCGTGCTGAGATTTCGTCGGAGATCAACACGTTGGGGCTGATGGTACTTCCCAAGTAAGTGAAGCGGTCAACGTGCTCTACCACTTCACTTCCTATTTCTAATCTAGGGTCGGAATCGAAACCAGACGACGTGTGTAGTTGGCGAGCACATTCTACCACTAAACCATCGACCTATACACTTTTAAAATAATGTCATCAACGCACCACTGTGCGCAACAGAAATCTGACAGAGCTGATATGTTAAGCAACAAGCAGCGTTATGAAATAGCCATATGTGGAAGTATGCATCAGAGTAAAAGCCGTGCAAATGACAGCACCACCACCTAATGGAATTGAACTGAAGCCTTCTGACTACCAGTAGTAACAACAAGTCACATTATGGAGAAGTTATTGATTGCCAACGAGATTTCATTTTTATTATTCTATATGTTTCAGAGATTGTGGAAGACGTGACCCTTTAACTGGTCCCAAAATGCTGTCACCTAGAGAACAAATTTTCAGTTAAACTAATGGTACAACATACGATTTTCACATAAATTACATCATTAGTTTGAATCTGCCGCTGAAGGACTTCTATAGGTTCTCATAGAAATCTATTGCTACAATAAAATAACACAAACTTTCTAATGCTATTGCTTTCTCGGTGACTGCATAAATGATATTGTCTTCATAAGGCTGCCTACTATCACCAATGATTTTCCTGATTGCAGTAGATTGGATAATGCGACAAACAGCGGACAATCAGGAAACAGGCATAAAATGGACTCACACAAAAAACTTGCAGGATCTGGACTTCGCCGATTTGATATATGTCTGATTTCCCACAAACTAGAAGATATGCAAGCGAAAAGCAACAAGTTGGCAGAAGAAGCATCCACAGAAGATAGGACTTCAGGTGAACATAGAGAAAACAGAGGTGATGAAGATCCCTGGCCAACAGCAACAACAACAGACAGCAATCAGCATAAATGGGAGGAACCTGAAAGAAACAAACTCTTTTACCTACCTACCTGAGAAGCATCGTCTCAACTACAGGAGAACGGAACTGACGAGGATATCAAAGCAAGGATCGGAAAAGCAAGACAAGCTTTCACTACTCTCAAGTCTGTGTGGAGGCCAACAGCACTCAGCACGAAAATGAAAATAACATCCGGATTTTCAACTCCAATGTGAAGTCAGTCAGTGCTACTCACTATATGGATCAGAGACTTGCACTGCGCATCATAAAGAGCACCTCAGACAAACTACAAACCTTCATTAACAGTTGTCTTCGCTCAATACCACTCAAGATCAGATGGCCAGCCGGCCAGAAAAGATCAGCAACAGGGATCTCTGGCAATGAGCGAACCAACCAGGAACCAATTGTGAAACAAATGGGCAGGAAGAAATGGACATGGATTGGCTGGCCATACTCTGAGGAAACAAACCATCAAGTGACATCACTAGACAAGCCATTGCTCGAGTGGAATCCGAAAGGGAAGCGGCGAGTTGGTCGTCAGTGCGAAGGTGGGGTGACTTGGAGGAGGTCATGTGAAGTGAAGAGGAGATGAAAACGTGTGGGCAGACTTGGAGCCAGGTGAAGACTCTAACAGAGAACCGAACGCAATGGAGAAGCTCGGCTGAAGCCTTATGTTCCTGTAGGAATTAAAGGAAACCATAATAATAATAAATAACTTCATAATGAATATGTGATATAAGATGAATCGGTGGTTATTCGATGCTATAATGCTCGCTAATCACGTACATAACCAAGGTTCATAGTTCCTGGACGATCCACTGCTCACAACTTCGCCTATTTTACTAGCCAACAGCAGGCCCGGAAAACAGGGGAAGTTAAGCATGAAATTAGTAACACCTTCACCGCTACTAAAAAAAGAAAAATCTTACAAACGCCTTGCTACAAAACGACTATCTTACCAACTTCGTAAAGAAGTATATCTATGAAACTACACACAAAACTAAACGAGACACAGTAAGTAAGAAAAAGCCCTACTTAAATTTACAAATCAAAGGTGATATATCCAGCGACATATTAAGCCGTAGATTATGGAGAGAAATTGAAAGAACCTTCAGTGCCTTAAAACTGCATGTCATTTTCTCAACCAAACCGATACTGACAGTGTGCATTAAAGATAGATTACCCAAAATGGCGACATCAATGTGTGTATATAAATTCAACTGCTCCTGTGGAGCTAGTTATATAGGTCGTACCCAAAGGAATTTATCTTTACGCACTCGTGAACATATTCCGGTCTGGCTTGGGAAAAGAGCAACCAAATCATTGAATAGTGCAATTCTGTCTCATCTAGTGGATAGCGAACACAGTATCAAAGTAGAAGAGTCATTTACAGTTGTGTATGGAGTACCGAACAATCTCCCCAAAGGCACACGATTACACCTCCTAGCCATAGCTGAGGCTTTAGAAATTAATAGAGAAAGACCAGACTTATGTGTACAGATAAAACTTATTCACTCTCTGTCTACCCTGGCCCACTATAAGGTCACCAGGATCATAATTTTCCGTATTATTATTACCATTATTATCATTTTGTGATATCATGTCTTTATTATCCATTTCTCCACCCAGTTTATTTCACCTCATTGTTACCCTTAATTTTGTCAACCTTTGTGATTTTATACTAAGCCTACCAACTCCGTAACATCTTATTACAATTTACAATTTAGCATCTTTATTTTATCATTAGACATTATCGGTTAGCCCTCACATTCAGTGTCCCCTTTGTTAATGTGTATTTGTATGTATTTTGTGGTTATCGCATTTCTCTCACCCCAATGACACTTGTATTCTGTTGACTATAAAACAGCACTATATCAGCCAATTGTTCATTCACCACACTTCATCACATTTTCTGACTATACACCCTATACACATTTGATTGATTATGTTAACTAATGGACTATCATCTCAACTTACACATGCACCCCAATACAGTTTCTGATATTATTTTCATTTGCCTTTATTGGCTATATGTACTCTATTATTCATGGATTTATAACTTTAGAGCCTGAAGAAGAAGAAGTTATCGAAAACAATTGTTGGCTCAAAATCTTGTTTTGATTTCAATATGGGGATATTTCAATTTACTGAAATTTCAAAAACCTGGATCCGTGTATGTGTTCCACACTAGGGAAGGGGGTAAAGAATCAAAAAAGAAAACTGTGAGTAAATCTCTTTTTTTTGAACTAACTTTATCTTGTTTTACCAGATGATTTAGACTTTGAAGGTTTTGTATCACTTCCACTGTGGTCAACAGCAGCAGTTGTTTCTTTATCAGTGTGTTTTGCATCCACTGAACTGGACAATTTACTCTGTGGTATTTGTTGAGGTGATTGTGTATGAGTTGGTTGTTGTTGTTGAGCTTGTAGTAGATTACCGAGTGATGAATGATCATCAGCACTGTTTGTTGATTCCTCGGAGAGTTTGGAGATTTCTTCATCGTGTAGAACAGTTGAATAATTTCCACGATTCATACCACCACCACCGCCAGCACCACCACCTCCTCCTCCTCCTGTTCCACTACTAGCTGAACAACCTGTACGACTTGCACCGCTTGTATGTCGACTACAATGATGTGGGCATAATCGTATGGTAAATTTTGATGATTGACATTCATTACAACAACATCCTGTGTCTGATTGTATTCCAACTAGTGGGACATTACCACTCAGAACAGATGATGTTTGTCCATGATGCCGTTTATGAAATGGTTGTAGTGAAAACCTAAAATCGGAGGAGAATATCATTTATGACACGTTAACGCATACCATAATATAAACAAAGACACAAAAACGACTCCTATCACAGTTTAGTACCTGTCAAGTAGGGAGAAAAAGACGCTAAAGTAAGAAACAAAATCATGTCTCAATCTTATTATTATTACTAGGTTCCGAGTGGAACATAGAGCTTCGACAGAACATCCCCATTTCACCCTGTTCTCTGCAGTCCCATTTAGATGGCTCCGAGATTGTCTATAAGCTCTCATCTCCTCTATCATGCATATGGACATAAGCTGTTTGGCATGCGATTCGACCCTGTAAAATGTAAGATGATGATGCAGAATTGGACTACACCGACCCCTACATTAGAAATAGGGAGTGAAGTGGTAGAACACGTTGACCACTTCACTTACTTGGGAAGTACCATCAGACCCAATGGGTTAATCTCCGACGAAATCTCAGCACAGATACAGAGGGCTAGTTTCACATATGCCAGTTTACGCCGTCTCTGGCGTAGACGTGATATCCGACTATCGAACAAAGGCCGTGTGTACAGCTCAGAAGTCCGCTCCGTCCTTCTTTATGGCTGTGAGACATGGCCATTGAGAGCGGAAGACATGAAAAGATTAGCTGTCTTCTATCATAGGTGTCTGCATTCTATCTCCCATGTGAAGTGGTATGATAAGGTGAGCAATATTGAGGTTAGGCGTCGAGTGCTAGGTAAGGAGGGGAAATCAATCGACGAGACTGTGAAATTACATCGACTGAGATGGTTAGGACATGTGTTACGTATGCCTAATCATCGCCTTCCTCGACAATGGGAAATGTTAGCTGATATAGGGTCAGGCTGGAAAAGAGCTAGCGGTGGTCAAACGAAAACATGGCACCAGTCAATGAAATATACAACAGTTAATTTAAGCAAGCCACATAGGAAGGTGTAGACTTCCTCAGTGGTTGGGGTCCTCAGGACGGTAAAAGCCAATGGTTGGAAACAATTGGTGACATGGCTCAAAATCGTTCCCAGTAATGGCGCAGATGCATCCACTCCTTGTGACTCATGATCTCCAATGAAACTGTTTTGTTCTTCGTTATTACTATTCCTTTGTCTCACACCTCTGTTTACTGTCTATATTATGCATTTCTCCTACTTTCTTCTCTTGCTTTGTGTGCTACATGGAGTGTGGCTACTTGAACTGCCACACATATGTGCAAAGTTCTATATCGAAAAACGACCATGGACATAAGCCCAACTCGTCTTTTCCCGTTCAGGTTCCACTCGAATGACGACTGGTGCGTGAACTTACTTGACAGTCTCCTCAGTGTGTGTCTGATATAATCCCCATTTTCGTCGACACATTTGTTTGGCTGGTTCGCTGCTAGAGTTTTCCTTTTTTGCCTGCTCATCCCTTCTGGTCAGCTATCTGATCTTCGTTATCAAGCGAAAGGGGCAAATGTTTATAACCGTCTGTCGTCACCTGTTGGAAATGCTTCCGGTGACACATCAAGTCTTTGATTTATCAAAACAAGAACTGACTGACTTGACGTTAGTGTTCAAAATCCGAATTTTGTTCTTTATGCTTAGAACAGTAAAGTTCCAAACTGATTTCAGAGTAATTATAAAAGTCTTTCCTGCCTTTCCGATCCTGGCTGGCTTTAATATTCTCATTCGTGTCGCCACCTGTAGTTGAAACGATGCTTCTCAGGTGAGGTAAGTGAAAGTGGTGGCCTCCTTCAGATTTCGCCTGCTGATGATGGTAGTAATTCGTGCCTGTTTTTGATGGTTGGTCATCTTCATCACCTCTGTCGGCTAGCTCTATGTTCACTTGGAGTCCTGTCTTCGCTACCTGTATATCTTCTCCCCATTTGTTGTTTTTTCGACTGTAAATCTTCGAGTTTCTGTGACATTAAATATAAATAGCCTGCAAAGTCCAAATCATTTACAGTCTTCTTGTCGGTCAATCGTATTCCTTCCTTCTCACTCCCTAGGCCCACCGTATGATCCAGTCCAACATATTCAGGACTATCATCGACGACAGTAGGCAGTCTCGTCTGACTCCTGTCTTAACTTCCAGGGTTTCTCTGAGTTTTCTGGTGTGAATCGCTCAGAATGCGGGATCATCGTCATATAACTGTTGGATGAGGTTTATAAAGGTCTGGAGTACTACTATGTAGTGTTGGTTAGGTTTCCAAAATGTCTCATTTTAAGACACTAAAATCTGTAACTTGAAACCTATCAGTTTGTGCTAAAAGTTAAATGCCTTTATAAAAAACGACGTCAATGTGCGGACAATCTAGAATAATCCGAACCGTACTGTGCTTTAACATAGAAGATTGGGCGATTCATTTTAATATGGCGAAACTTCTCATTCAGACATTTGAAAGAAGAAAATGGAGACGGATTGGACATAGATAGAAGGAGACCACTGAGGTATAGCACATAGCATGCCCTCGAGTGGAACCCGAATGGGAAGCAACAAGTCGGCTGTGGTTTCGAGTGTGACACGACGAAGATCATAGAAATAGGAAACTAAAGGTTAGGGACAGTTGTACAATCAACTGGAAACGATAGTTGAGAAGTGAGTGAAGTTAAAAAGATGTGCGGCTGAAGCCTTATTTTCTCCTAGGGACTTAAGAAATAAATTATTATTATTATTATTACTATCATCAAATAACCTATAATCTGCGACACTGAGAAGAACGAGTAGGGCGAAATTCTATTCGCTAAACTTTCGCCCAATAGCTTTCTACTCAAAAATACCGTAGTTACTCAACCAAAAAAAACAAGCTAATTAGTTTTACCCCATCCATGTGCATTAATCATTCCAACTGCTCCTATGGTTGGTGACAGTTATGTTGATAGGATAACCAGACAGCTCATACAAGGTGTCAGAAACACATCTCCTATGGTTAGTTATTGTATGTTTAATATTTGTTTGCAAAGTTGTGTGTACTAGAGTAAAGCCTGGGGAGATCTGATTGAACATAAATGTCTTGTTTTGCATTTCACTCTGATGAGACATTCTACTTATAGGGTTGCAAGTAGGCAGAAGTGATGAACCAAAATTCTAAATTGACATAGGCTAAACTCCATTATTATTCTACCACGATATTACGCAATCTGTCATCTGATTGTATAAACTATTTAACATTAACAGTAATATCAGGTAAATGATTCTATAAGGTTCACAGATTTGACATCTCAAAAAGACTACTACTGCAGACTTTCATCAATAGCTGGCTGACTTCGCTAGTTCGATACTGAAAATCAGACGGCCAGCCAGAAAGGATAAAGAAGCAATAAGAAACGAACCAGCCAACCAACCAGCCCCCCCCCCCACCCACAAAAAATATGTAGAAAGAAATGGAAAAGACGTGGAAAACGCTGAGGAGACAGCAAACTGGTACCACAAGCCAGGCAGGCTGTCAAGTGGAACCCGAAAGGGAAGCAATTTGATGGGTATGGAGACTCGAGGGTCTCATGGAGGAGATGTAGGCAGGCAGTAGTGAAGTCAGTTGGATGCGGTTGCAGGAACAAGACGCAGCTGAGATGTCTGACTTGAAATACAAGGAACGAACAATAAGAACAAGATAAAAACTTTCTTGGCACATTTTGAAGTTAGACAAACAGAGGATATAGAAAGGTGAGGCTTAAGATAGCAAAACGATCATACTACTAACTAGCTGAATAGAGACACTGGATAGGTATTTTAGTAGATCAATACCAAATCTATTACTGGTTGAATTGTTTATTATTATTATTATTATATTACTATTATTTTTTCCTTTAATTCCTAGAGGAACATAGGGCTTCAGCCGTGCGTCTCCATTGCGTTCGGTTCTCTGCTAGAGTCTTCACCTGGCCCCATGTCTGCCCACACGTTTTCATCTCCTCTTCACATGACCTCCTCCATGTCACCATCGCACCGACAACCAACTCGCCGCTTCCCTTTTGGGGTTCCACTCGGGTGATGGCTTGTCTAGTGATGTCACTTGATGGTTCCCTCAGAGTATGGCCAGCCAATCCATCTCCATTTCTTCCTGCCTATTTGTTTCACAATCGGTTCCTGGTTGTATTCTACAAGCGAACAATTTCAGTATTGCAAAAAAGTTTGAAAATTCTTCAGACTTGATCACTAACTGCTGACTGTTTCTGTCTATCTAACTGTCACAAGTATATTGTGCAGTATTAAGTGGTCCTATTGTAAATTGCATGACATCGGGATTTCTTCTAACTTTCGTTAACTCCTCCTGGCCACATTTGACAGATCACTTGCAACGCAGATTTTCCAAAGCACTAATATTATGTGAAGACAAATATTTCAATCAGTTGTCTTAGGAATATCATCTGCATCTGCGCCAGCCATTGAGAACGACGATTTTGAGCCATATCATCAATTGTCTTCAGCCTTCATTGGTTTTTACCGTCCCGAGGAACCCAACCAGTCAGTCAGGAAGTCTACACCTTCCTACGTGTCTGGCTTAAATTAACTGTTGTGGATTTCATTGACTGATAAAGCCATGTTTTCGTTTGACCACCGCTCTCTCTTTTCCAGTCTGACCATATATCAGCTAATATTGCCCATTGTCGAGTAAGGCGATGACTAGGCATGCGTAAAACATGGCCTAACCATCTCAGTCGACGTAGCTTCACAACCTCGTCGATTGATTTCCTCTCCTTACCTAGCACTCAACATTGCTCACCCTATTATGCCACTTAACATGGGAGATAGATCGCTCGGAAAGTCTAGTTATTAATACTGCATCCACTGTGTGTTATTTCAAACAAACTTATCTAACATGGAAATACCACCTTCTTATCTTGCTCTTTCCTTTCCAACAGGAGATATTCAAGAATACTTGAGAATGAGTACTACTTATCAATCATGAATAATCGAGTGCATGTACTTCAGAGGCACTTAAAGCTTTCACTGTGCTTTGAAGTTTCAGTAGCCATATGTTTGTTTTCTACGCGCTACACAGTTGCTAATTCCGTGAGACCCAGTCTTCCCAATTTTCTGGGCCGAGAAACACCTGGTAAACTAGGTGGCGTTCCCCACAGGCTTCATAAACACACATCAACAGCTGTCTTCACTGTCTTTGTACTGAACCTCAGATGGTTGGAAAGCATACGCCAAATCTGAAAGCACACCAGCCAACCAGCCTATTGTTCAACGAATATGTAACGGGAGGCACTCAAGTGACATCACACACCAGGCAGATCATCGAGTTGGACATGAAAGGTCAGAGACGAGTTGGACATGAATCCAACGATGATATCGAGATCTTGTGAAATAGGAATAAACACTTATGGATAACAGTGGAGTATTTTTGAAAACCGGGTGCGAATGGAGATGTACCCCTAAAAGCCTATGTTCCACTCAGAACACAAGGAATAAATAATAATAACAATAACAATAATGACATAGAGAATCAGGTATATTGAGCGTTGAATGCCGATAAACTTTTTAAATTCATTTTTCATATTATTATAATTTTATCCAGAAATGGCACTCGCATTTCTAATGGTTATAAGTCTCAAATTTCATAAATTGAGTGTTTACATAAATACACAAATAAATAGTTGAGAAAAAAAATTGTTTAAGCGTAAAAGAAACATACCGACGTTGTTTCCTCCCACCTCTACGTTTACTAATATGAGGATTATCCTTTCTCATTGCCTTAGTTTTGTATAATTCAATCTGTGTATAGAGACGTTTGAGTTCACGCTGGAAGTAAAAGTTTAGCAACAACAACAACAAGAAGTCAAAAATGCCAGAGGAGAAGAGAACATTGAATTGAAGTTAGATTAGGGATGGACATCAGTTAGAATACAATGGACTATTGAATTCTGTCCCACTGGTTGGATGAATGAATCAATGGTCAACAAGCTTCCCTCATAACCTAAAGGTGCTGAGTTCAATCCACGGTGGTGGTGGTGTTGTGAGAGCATACTATTGAAGAGTCCCAAACTAGGACGAAACATCTCTAACTGATATCAATCCGTGATCAAACTTCAAAATCAATCAAATCCCTGCAGAACAACATTTTAAGAAATATCAATTTATTTCAAGCAGAAAAGTATTCATATTCAGATAGAGTTTTCTATTTGTCGTCTGAATAAATAATATTATCAAGTCGAAGTAGATTTGTTAGTTAACTTGTAGGAGTTTCAGAAAACCTAGATGTCTAAGGCTTCCCCCCCCCCACAGAATACTTACTTTACTTTACTTCGGCTATCTCCTACAGGAGGATGAGCCGGCTTCATGAACATCTCGAATGAGAGCCGTTTGTAAGAGAGTTCATGAAGTTTCGTGGGAATTTGGTACGAGTGATGTCCCCAGAATCGCTCGGCCTTTTCTTTGAGAGTGCAGCTCTAGCCTTTACACAACCAAGTGTGGCCTACAAGGCAGTAGGAGTGGAGTAAGGAGTCCACTATCCATTGACAGCCGGTGACCGGAGTTCGGTTCATACGCCTTTTGAATGGGGCCAGACATCCACGACATCCAACAAGCCCTTTGTCCATTCGTCTGCCGGTGAGCTCCAGTGAGCTTCACACGCCAGTCGTTGGAGGTTTGGAATCAGGGTTTAGCCATCTCCCTTAGACTGTCATCCAATGGACAGTCGACCCGGTGAAGAGCGCCGGGCATCCGCCTTCGCCCTCTCACTTTGGTGAAAAACACCTCCGCCACGTGAAGGCAGCGAGTAGGACTTCCTCAGGAGGGGGCTATGTAAGACGCCTGGTCATATGGGAGCATTTCAAGAGGTGTGAGGAAAAGTGGCCAACCCGCAGCGCAAGGCACCCACCCCCGACCATCCTGAGGCTGTGGAGGCTCCCCCCACAGAGTGCCTCCAACCATCTAATATCAACAATTCAAAGTGCACCAAAGTGTTAAGAGCCACCTAGCATGGGCACCACCACATTGCAAACTCAACTGATAGAATTCAGTCTGCACCAAAAGAAAAGGACTAGACACATGAAACCAGTTAACTAGTGTCCAATCAAAGTTAGTCTTGATGTATCGAGTTAGATATCACTTCACGATAGATAAAATGAAGAACTGAGTAGTAGTAGGTGGCTGCGAAATACAATCATTTACCGAATTTTAGCTATCTTTATTGGCTACAGGATTTCATCATGAGCTGATATTGATTAGAGAACCATTAGAAAACCTGGTGTGGTGAGAGCTGGTTGCTAGCCAAAGTTGGTAGACAGTAATCGACGTCAATGTTTATGTCCCCAATATTGGATGGTGGTGAGAAAATGAGAACAAAGGCTTTGCGTAGGCGGATACAGTTAGCATATGGATGATCTGACACAGCCACAAAGAGATGCAAGGTTAACTTTCTGTGAGAAACAACCAATCAAAAGACTGTATTTTCTACTAACAATATTCAACAATAATGTACATTAAAATCTATAAATATGTGTTGATTTTCCTTAATAAACTATCTGTTGCCTGGCCCTTGTCTTCTGTTGTTACACTGGGAGTGCTGAACAGCAATTTCATGCTAGTTTGGGACTCCTCATCCACTGGGGTTCGAAATGAGGACCTTCCGGTTACAAAACCAAGCTCATTCTAGTGAGACATCATGAACAGTGGGGTAAAGCAGGTCGGATGTGAGGAGAAATAGTCGCCAAGAACATTGGCTAGTGGTCACGCTATTATCGTGCATTGGCAGATGTTGCAATTCATGGGCCACTACTGGATCGGGTCCCAGTGGCTTAGTTGTCTATGAGCTTGCCTTGTAAATGGTAGATCCTCAATTTGAACCCCAGTGGGTGCGTACTGCTCTACAGGATCTCAGAGACTAGGACGAAACAGCTGTCCAGTACTCCTTGCAGGTTTTCTCCAAGGGTTCTCTAACCAATGTCGTCAGCTCATGATGAAATCCTGTAACCAATCAAATCCCTGCAAAACAACACTAGAATTTTTTAGACTGTTGCCGACAAGTATTGTAATAGGATTGGTTTTAATACACAACTTATGTATTAAGTATCTCGGATTAACACCAATCATATCCCACTGTAGTATGTAAAACCACGTCGCAACTATTATTATTATTACTAAAACACAAGAGATGTATCACACAAGATCTCTTGGTTTTAGCAAGGACCGGGATACTGCCAGGATGCTCAGATTAAAGCAAGTCGTTGCCATCACTCCCGAGCCTTTGACTTGAAGTCGCATCCACAAGGAGCTGGAGCAGCATCAGGAGCGACATTCCCATGGTTTCTGGTGACCAAAACAAATTCATACGTCATTCGATCCACTCGGATCCTGGAGCTCATGTACACCACAGGTTTGAAATCAAGGTTTTCCAGTTCTCTAGGTAGAACTGAATGTCCAACTAGTCCAGTTGTAGGCGTCAGACGTCATTTGTATTAGCCCTTCAAAATTATAAACAGTCACCAAAATACCCCCACTTCCATTTCTTATGTTTTTTTCCTATTTAGCGTTGTACTCATGTGGCATGTTACTTGTCAGCAACGCCTCCTACTATACTAAGTTACAAGAATCTCATACTAAATAAGGTTTACATTTTATAGTCCCCGACGCTATTTTCGTTCATCTAACCATTGCTACGGTTGAATTGAATTCGACTAGATAGTCAGGATTCGGGTAGTCTGAACTGATTCAACTCTCTGAACTGGGTCGAACCGAGTACAAAGATGATGAGTTCGGCCGCAAGTCAGTGAAACAGACGTTTGGTGTTTAAACCACTTCGACAATCTGACCAGCAAGCAGTACTGATTGATGTAAGTGGAATCCAACAACTCATTCCAATTAATCAGTGATATATATATCGTTAAGCGGTCGCTACATTTGATTAACATAACATTTCAATGTTGAGCCATTAAAAAACCCAAGCAGAGCTGGACAGACATTTTGTTTTAGTTTGGGACTCTTCCGCATAACACATCAATAACCCAACCACCAGGCGTCGAACTCAGAATGTTCTAAGTTTGTTTGTTTTTTCATAATTCCTTAAATGATGTCGGTTTTTGATGAAACCCACAGTGAAATGAATCAAAATTCATACAGAACTTAAAATCTAAGTATAATACGAAATTACTAAACGTCGTCAACAACTAACCCGTATCACTTCTGGATCCATATCGGCTAAATTCACATCAGCAATGTCTAAATCACCATTTGATACAAGATTCAACTTTCCAGCTGTGGCTAAGTGTGGATCTGTAGAAAAAACACCTCCAGGGGTACCCCGTGAACGACTTGTATTGTATAGACTTTTTGATGAACGACATAAAAATGTAACCTGTAGAAAAACAAAACAAAAAACAAGTTGAAAAGAAAAAGAAGGAGGAGATCAGTGAATATCAAAATGGTAGCGAAATTTACAGTGAGTGAGGATATCTGATGACCAGAAGGAGAAGGTTAAGAAGCTATTTGAATAATACCTGTTTACAACTTGTTAGAACTGCTAAATCCCCGGATTTTATCATCGTTGAATAATTAATCAGTGAAAAGTTCTCCAAACGCTAATTATCTCATGACACACAGAGCAACAATCTAACAATATCAGTCTAGCTTCATCTTCTTTTTTTTCATCGAAATTACAGTTGATTACTTAACTCACATGGTAGAACATAGACAAGACGGAGGTTATGAAAATAACCAACCAACCAACAACAAAAACAACAGCAGTAGCAACATCCAGCGCCAATCACCATCAACGGGAGGGATTTGAAAGAGGTTACTTCATTCACTTATCTAGGGAGCATTGTCTCAACTACAGGAGGAACGGACGAGGATGTCAAATCGAGAATCGGGAAGGCGAGAAACACATTCATCAACCTGAAACCAATCTGGAAATCTTCGTCACTCACTCAGCATCAACAACAAAATTCGGATTTTCAATACAAACGTCAAGTCAGTCAGTTCTTCTATACGGATGGATCAGAAACTTGGCCGGCGGGTCACCAAGAATATTTCCAACAGCCTGTTGCAGACCTTTATCAACAGCTGTCTTCGCTGGCTCTATACTGAAGATCAGATGGCTGGAAAGAATCACCAACAAGAAACTATGGGAACAAACAAAACAAGAACCAATCGCTCAACAAATATGCAGGAGAAAGTGGAGATGGATTGGACACTCGCTGAAGAGGCCGCTGGGTGACATCGCGCGTCAGGCCAGTGCTCGAGTGGAACCCGAAAGGGAATTGGCGAGTGGGACGTCAGTGCAAGGGTGACATGGAGGAGATCGTATGAAGAGGAGTTGAAACAGTATGGACTAAGATGGATGCAAGTGAAAAGTACAGAAGAAGACAGAAGCAAGTGGAGACGTGCAGTTGAAGCCCTATGTTCCACTAGGAACCCAAGGGAACAATAATAATATAATAATACTTAACTCACACCTACAACAATTTTAAGAAATTGCCTTTCTTGACTGGGGGATGTTTGGCGCTGGACAATATCCAGCCAATATCTCAATGGCTGAGAATAAACAAGAGACTAGAGAGAAAAGAACAAGGAGCTTAACAAAGATACCTTGTTCTTTTCGCTCGGATAAACAGAAGAACGTATTTAGCAGGCAGGTCAATAATCCCAGTTACTACTTACGTCTAATCGATATTTAAGCAAGAAAATAAACCGTGTGTATTCTATCCACAAATATGAAAGTTAAAAAAAACATCAAGACAATTTTCAGTTAAACTTCCCTTTTTCACTCTCCGTGTATTCAAGAGTGGAACATAAAACTTCGAACTTTGGAATCTCACTAGCAGTTCCTAGAAGCATGTCCAACAACCTTCTCTATTTCCCGAACTTATTACCGGCTAGTAAATTACGCCAGGATTAGGCAAGGTGTGTCCGCTGGAAGTTGAAGCCAAACCTGTCACTTGGCTGGCTGGCAAGCATTCTATCACCGAACCACTTACGCACCAGTTATTACTGGAGTTATTCTAAATGCTTCACTGAAACAGTTCATTAGCTGATGTGCTTTCTAACGACCGATTTTAAAATGAGGTTTATCTGTAGAACAAGTAGAATTCGAAAGTGATGAGATGAGGCTGTTTTGTTCTAATTTGAGAATCATCGAAAGTTCAAAGTTTCAACTCTATTCAAAATTGAAACCATGATTATAGATACAGTATTTTTTTTCCTTCATGTTCTCCAGTGGAACATAGGGCTCCAAGCTAGTGACCTGAAGGTTCTGTAGCAGTGTTTATTTTACAGAGTTGGGTTGCTAGCCTCATGCCCAACATTTCCTCTTCACTGGAATTATTTCTGGCTTAGCGAGATAAAGGAGTGTGTCGGCCGGGGATCGAACCCCGGACCATGTGCATGGTCGGCGAGCGTCCTAACCGCTATGCCACCGACGCACATAGATACAGTATAACAAAGCCATTTCCTTAGTATCCAATGAAGTACGTTCCAATGCCTGATGATTCCCACCTTTCACTGTCTGTGAGGCATTGTTCTGACACTGTTTTCGGTTGATACTATAATTAACGATGCTCACTCCAACTTCCAAACCTATTACTCAAAAAAATATACATCAGAAAATGAAGATGGATTGGACATACGCTAGCTAAGGAGACACTCTAGTGGCACTACACTACAGGTGGGCCACAGAGGGGAACCCAATAGTGATATGGAGGAGATCATATCGCGTGAGGAAATATTGTAAGCTATAGTGGGGGCAGTCGCAGAGCTAGTTGAAGGTTATTGCAAAGAATAAAATGTCATGGAGATATATCGCTGAAACCCTATGTTCTTTCTACGTGGAACAAAAGGAACCAGTAAACATAATAATAATGATTTTGAACTTCTGGAAGTCAATTCCAAAATGTGATTCACTAATCAGCATCGATGGTCAATTATTCAACTGTTAGGTAATGTTAATTGTTTTTCTGAAACTTGAATGTTAACTTTATTAAGCTTTCTCATGTAATTTTGAACATACGTTACTCTATTCATCAGTTGGCTATGAAGTAAGGCTGGGTGTAGCCTTACATTTCAAATAAGACCTACGCAGCAATTTCATAATAAGTGAACCTGTACACAAAATGAAGCGAATAATATATATATATATAAACTATTAGTGCTACTCTACACATTACTTAATCATCAGAACTCGTATACACCATTCATGGACCACTAGCTCTCCCAGTTAAAGTGACCTTAAGATTAGTAGTCGTCTATTTCACTTACTTACTTACTTATCTAGGCAGGCAGTAGAGTTTCAACCACAACAAGCATATATGAGGATGTCATTGTGGAGATCTACGGAATTTTGACACTTGCCTCGAGTCAGCACCTACGTAAGCGCACGTCATCAAAAGCATTCCCACTATCAGTCTGCCCCCCCCCCTTTTGCTTGATACTGAAGATCGGATGGCTAGTCATTAAGGGTAAACAAGAAGGAAGTGTGTGGCAGGGCATCAACCTAAACAAGGACCTATGGCTGGCCTATATAATATACAGAAGGTAAGGTATACGATCTGCGTCAATGGTATAGCGGTTAGGACCCTTGCCAACCATGCACACGTCCGGGGTTCGATCCCCGACCAACGCACTCCTTTACCTCTCTAAGCCAGAAATAATGCTGGTAAAGAGGAAAGGTTGGGCATGAAGCTAGCAACCCCATCCTGTAATATAAGCACTGCTGCAGAAACTTCAAGCTGGACAGTTGTAGAGGTGGCTGATATATCACAGAACTGAGTGGAATGGGATTGTGTTGTTGAAGCCTTATATTCCATTCAAGAAGTGAAAGAATGAATTTTTTTTCTTCACGTTCCCAGTGGAACATAGGGCTTCAAGATAGAGGCTTGAAGATTCTGTAGCAGTTTTTATTTTTACAGGATGGGGTTGCTAGCCTCCTGCCCAACCTTCCCTCTTTACTAGTCTTACTACTGGCTTAGCGAGGTAAAGGAGTACATCGGTCGGAGATCGAACCCCGGACCATGTACATGGTCGGTGAGCGTCCTAACCGCTATGTCACCGACGCACCAATGAATGATAGTAATTTCACTTGCATGCCTGTACATCACTAATTGCATTGTTGTTAAGTTCTTCTACATATTCAAATAAAAGCAAAATTTCAACTGAAAATTATAGTTACAGATTAGGAAAGCAAAGAAAACATATAGTGAATGACTGACTGACTGACTAACCTTTGGTACAAAAATTAACAAAAGGTTCACTGTTATTGTAATATGCGATCTAGCGAAATACAACAGGAATATATAATCAGGATGAACACTGTACCAAATAAAATGCCTGAAAATGAAAACAAAATATATAGAAAACTAAATGAAAGATTTTGGTTCATTGTAAAAAAAGGAGTAAATCATCTAATGTAATAATATGAAGTAATAATTATAAAAATATAGGACAGTAATATTTTCATTTTTCCTTCACGTCGCCCAGTGGAACATAGGGCTTCAAGCTAGTGGCTTGAAGTCTCTGTAGCAGTGTTTATTTTACAGGATGGGGTTGCTAGCCTCATGCCCAACCTTCCCTCTTCACCAGCATTATTTCTGGCTTAGAGAGGTAAATGAGTGCGTCGGCCGGGGATCGAAACCCGGACCATGTGCATGGCGGGCGAGCGTCCTAACCGCTATACTACCGACGCTAGGACAGTAATAAAACTGATCAAATTAGAACATATCCATCTAGATTTCTTAGAAGCCATACTTCAAGAACAACTATTGTTTACCGGCTGTTTAACAAATTTGCCTATTTTCTGAGCTACATCGTTCTTATAGTGGTCTCAGACGTCATTGATGTAGCCATTAATCTACATTATGATCAGATGTCTGGTTGACAGATCACGTTGGAAACGCTGATTCATAACATTTCTTTTTTTCAAGTTAAACTTTAGGCACCAGTAAGTACCAATTGAAGTGCAACTGCACCAATGACCTGGAAACACCCAGTGAGAAAATTAGTGAAAAGTTGTATTTAAAATATCGTAATCATGAATAAAATATGCCTGATGAAGTGTTATGTTATTAAATGGGATATTTGGCGAGTTTCAGCTTATGTTGGGGAAAAATTAAGTTAATATGTAGGCTCAGGACATGTTGGGGGTTAGGTTAACCCAATAAGGGCGAAATTAGGCTTGGTTCGAGTTAGATTAGGGTTAGTCAGTTTAGGGGTGTTTTCACCTAACGGTTAGGTTAAGGAGAGATTAGAGTTACTGTTAGGGTTAGAAGACCTAGATAATTACACGCACAGAATGTGGTTAAATTAGTCTATTGAAACTCCAATCGAAAAGTGAGAGGTATTTTTGTCACAGGTCAGAAAAAAAGTATCCTGTGTAACAGTTTCATGCCTTTTCATTCTTCATTATTTTCATGAATATGCGTATTCTATACGCAGAAATCGTCTTTATCATATTGTTGGTGCGTTCAAGGACATTTGCCCGTTGGTACTTACCGGTGCTTAAAGTTTAACTTTGCCTTCTGGTTGACAGGCACATGGACTCATGTGAAAAATGGGCCAAATCCATTCTATCTAGCTCACACCACTCTCTTAACTCACAACTCTCCCTTTGCATCTCATCAGGCAAAACCAGAAGCCTATATAGAAAACTATATGCTCGCACCAGCAAGTACAAAAACTCAACCATACTCTACTTAGCTCGTGTTCTGTGCGATAAAGAAAGCATTAGGCGTGACACCTATAATTCATTAAATAGTCAGTAGTACAACTGGATCTCGTCTTTCCAATTCATATCATTTATAGGTACAACATTTTCTTTCTTTCTTTTCCTTTTCTCTCTCTCTTTTTCTCTTTTTTCCGTTATGTGCTGCTTCGTTTCTTTCTTCCACTTACGCCAGTAAATATGATAGCACCTACTTTTCTAACACCTTCAAACACTGTTCAACTTTGGCTTTGCTACGGACACGCCAATATGTTGTTGTCATAATGAACTGAGATTTCCTTAATCTATGTAGAATTCTATTTATTGATAATGTACTAACTGGATGCAATACTGTAGTAAAAATGCTGAGAATTCCATTCTGTATCACAAGTACTGTTTTGGAATAAAGCAAATTATTATTATTATATCTTCTCTTATCCCAAAAGATACACTTGATTGTAACATACTCGTAACAATGTTATTTTTTTAATAAATTAGCCCAAGAGCCAACTGTGAAATACGATCAGAAACTCATTTACAAATCGCAGATGTGATTGATCATGACAACTCAGTGACAGACAAGCCTGTTTTTGATGCATGATTATTACAGGACATTTATGCATCGATGAGAATCTTTTCAAACTCGCCTTTGTAGTATTATTCACTACTAGCTTGATACACATGTTTTAATTAAGCACTGGAAACCCGCCAAAGTCAATAGCAATTTTTAATTCCACATTGTGATTTAACTCAAAACGTTTATTCCAATAGTGCTTTAAAACCTGTATATATATATATATATTATTGTTTCCTTTAATTTCTAGAGGAACATAGGGCTTCTGCCGTGCGTCTCCATGGCGTTCGGTTCTCTGCTACAGTCTCCACCTGGCTCCAAGTCTGCCCACACGTTTTCATCTCCTCTTCACTTCACATGACCTCCTTCAAGTCACCCACCCCTCGCACTGACGACCAACTCACCGATTCCCTTTCGGGTTCCACTCGAGCAATGGCTTGTCTAGTGATATCACTTGATGATTTGTTTCCTCAGAGTATGGCCAGCCAATCCATCTCAATTTCTTCCTGCCTATTTGTTTCACAATCGGTTCCTGCTGTGTTGGTTCGTTCATTACCAGAGATCCCACCCTGTTGCTGATCTTTTCTGGCCGGCCGGCCATCTGATCTTGAGTGGTATTGAGCGAAGACAACTGTTAGTGAAGGTGTGTAGTTTGTTTGAGATGCTCTTTATGATGCGCTGGCCAAGTCTCTGATCCGTATGGTGAGTAGCACTGACTGACTTCACATTGGAGTTGAAAATCCAGATCTTATTTCCAATTTCGTGCTGAGTGCTGTTGACCTCCTCACAGACTTGAGAGCAGTGAAAGCTTGTCTTGCTTTCCCGATGATCCTTGCTTTGATATCCTCGTCAGTCCCGTCCGCCTGTATTCGAAACGATGCTTCCCAGCTAGGTAGGTGAAGGAAGTTGTTTCTTTCAGGTTCCTCCCATTTATGCTGATCGTTGCCTGTTGTTGTTTCTATTGATGGTGTTGCCCAAGAATCTTCATTACCTCTGTTTTCTCTATGTTCACCTGAAGTCCTATCTTTTCTGGATGCTTGTTCTGCCAACTTGTTGCTTTTCGCTTGCATATCTTCCAGTTTGTGGGAAATATATATATAACAGGTTTCGGCTATATACTTAGCTACAAAAAGGCTTAAACTCGTTTTGTGTTAAGAAATTACTTAATATTACTTCGAACCTGCCTTGGTAATCCAATTTTAGAACCAAGATTCAATCTATTTAATAGTATTTTCTCAAACCCTGTTTTCCTTATACTCTTACCTGTGATCTTGACTCGTTAAACACTTATTTATCATTTTCCATACACAAGAATGCATCACATTTACTCTGTTTTACGTGTTTTATTAATATAATCCAATGATATCCTTGAACCACAATTTGTACGCATGCTCACCACTTTCAAATTGAGTTTCAACCCACTTATTATTATGGATTTTTCAAAAGAAATAGAGGAAAAACACTAAAGATTATACGAGCATGACTTAGATAGAATAACAGTACTGCTACAAATGGTATATTATTATCGATTATTACTACACTCGCACGTTCTACCTAAAGAGTAAATACTTTGCTATAGAACATTGCTGAGTAGTATGCTGTACTATGAGCTAGTGCTACTATTATTTTAATAATCTGGTTTAACTATTTATATCATATAACAGTAGTATGAGTATATGTATAAAATTACAACATTGGCTTACCTTAGTAAATGTAATAAACCAGAAACTGTCATTTCAATGATTAATGCTACACTAATATATTGAGTTTCATTGTATTCTGTTGGAGCTGTGCGAACTAATCGACAATAATGAATACTGATTGCCAGAATAATGAATTCAGCTGTGGTAAAAAAATATAAGAATGAAAATAGACTGAATTACTCATTGTGAAACCATGCAATAAAACGTACAATACATACACACGCATTTCATCTAGATGGCCGAACTTTCTACCCCAGTGGAAAATAGGGCTTCAAGATAGAGGCTTGAAGTTTCGGTAGCAGTGGTGTGCCCAACATTCCCTTTTTATCAGTCTTATTATTGGCTTAGCGAGTTAAAAGAGTGCATCAGTCGGGGATTGAATCCCGAACCACCTACGTCGTTGGAAAGCATTCTACCTCTGCACCACCGACGCACAACCCTCTAACTTACTGGCTCTCTCTTCTCTTAATTTATTCAAGTCACAACTGATGCTGACTAACTGTTCTTCCTCTTTATTCTGAGAAGAACATGCTTGAGTTTTGAATTTCCAGTAGTGGAGAAGCTTTTTTGTTTTACGGATTGCAACCGCTAGTCCCACGCCCAACCTTCTCTCTTTACCCAGTTTACTGCCCGACTAGGTAAAGTTCAGGAGTACATCGGCCTGAACCACGTACTTATCAGATTGGCTGGTATTCTACCACCGCCCCAAAGATAATTCCAGGGAAAAAATAGCGATAAACCTTACCATTAAAAGGACTGCCAGCTTCAGAGTTTTATCATTCTAATTCCAAAACAAACAGATTTCTGGATGAAAGTGGATAAGACTTTTCTCTTTCAAAAATAGTGAGTACAACTTGCTACAAATGTGAAATCAACTGGTATTAACTGAAAATTTAAAAACTGGACAATAACAGTTTAATCTAATCCCAAGTTCTGCTGGTCATTTTGAGTGAAAACCAACCAACTTCATCAAATTAAAGTACATAAACATGAATACAAGAACAATCTAAGTCAAATAATAGACTTTTTTTTATCCAGTTGACAATCATCAACTGGATACACCTGAGATGCTGAAGAAACTGACAACTGTTCAAAGATTTTCATCATGAGCTGACATTAGTTAGAGAACTATTGGAAAACCCGGGAGTACTGGACAGATGTTTCGTCCTAGTTTTGGACCCTTCATCAGTACGCACCCACCGGGATTCGAACCCGGGACCTTCTGGTTTGCAAGGCGAGCTCGTATACCATTAAGCCACTGGGACCCGATCCAACCAATCAAATCTCTACAAACCAACACTTGAATGTTCAACGATTCCTGCTTCACGTCATTTATACGGTCCTCACATTCGGTGAGTTAGTCATCTAAAGCATTTCCAAGAGTCTGCTGACGACGTTTACTAACAGTTGTCTTCACTGGCAACTGGACAGTGAAGATGACATGGTCAGTCAGAAAGGATAACCAAGCAAAAAGGAACTCCTCTGACAGCGAACCAGATATGCAGAATGATGAAATAGAGAAGAATCAGACATGAGATGAGGAGACACTCAAGTTACATAAAACACACCACCACAGCCATCACATGAGACCCGAATAGGGAACGATGAGTTGGGCGTGTGTCCAAGGTTGGTGAAGTGGGGGGGAGATCATCAGGTGAGGATCTGAAAGGTTTCAGACTAATCATGGAGCCAATTGAAAATGACAGCAGAAAATCTATTCACAAATGGGAATGTGTTGCCCAAACGCTCTGTTCCACTTGGGAAGTAAGGAGTCAAAAATAATAATAATAAAATAATTCCTATTTGAATTATACAACTTTTCCAAAGAAAACGCTAGATTCCTTATCATCACTGTTTCCCTCATATATAAAATTTGTCACAAAGCCAACATTGTCTTTATTTTATCCTAATTGTATAATCAGACAGTAAAGTTACAATGTTTTGGTCTTCTGTTTTCTCTCATGTTATGATGATGTTAATTTACTTATGACACATGACAGTTGCTGAAGTGCAGATCACTAAGGTTTGGTATTTGGCAATAACAAAAATAATAATAATAAAAACATTGTCATATGAATCTTACAATTAATGTATACACAGCAGTGGATAATGAATGCCTATAATAATCAACTGATTAACTTTAATTTTCAGCAAACTGGAATCTACCAATCAGGGAGCGAGTAAGTTGGCTACAGATGCGTAGGCGTTACGCTGACAATCTAGTGAATGCAATGCAGTGGGGTCGAGCTTTTTTCTTCATTAATTAACTTAACTCAGTTGAGGTTTCGATAACTTAACTGATCCAAGTCTACTAGTAGTTCGACCTATGTAACTGACCTCACAATTATTTTTCTTAATCGGATTTATCAGTGCCTTACCTTAAGCCGACGAAATCTGTCTCTGAGAGAGTGTTTGCTGCTTGATTTAAATGCCACTCTAATCTAATTTCCGTTTTATTAAGAATCCTATATAAGGCCTATGATATTCCTTCTTTATATGGCAGTACTGCTTAGGCCTTGAATTCCTTTATTATTTATACTATTTTCATTATTCTGCATTACTGCTCCTAAATTTTTCCCAAGAGTCTTCGTCCGCCGAGTCAATAATAATCTCAGATACACAGAAAAATTATACTTTAAAAATAAAATAACAGGAGAGAATAAGGCTGCATAAGGCAACTTAAGAAGTTATGTGAATACGATGATTTTATTACTATTGTGGTGAGAGCTGGCCGCTAGCCAAAGTTGGTAGACAGTAATTGACGTCAATGTTTACGTCCCCAATATTGGTGGTGAGAAAATGATGAGAACAAAGGCTTTGCATAGGCGGATACAGTTAGCCTATAGATGATCTGACACAGCCACAAACAGATGCAAGGTTAACTTTCTGTGAGAAACAACCAATCAAAAGACTGTATTTTCTACTAACAATAATCTACAATAATGTACATTGAAATCTACAAATATGTGTTGATTTTCCTTAATAAACGATCTGTTGCCTAACTATTGTCTTCTGTTGTTACACTATGAGTAATTAGTTGTGCTCAAAACGTCAACCAATTATTAATTACATTGTACGTAACCAACAGTAAACCACCCCACCTAGGCACTTTCTTTAGATGCCTTCATGTGTTGAATCGAAAAGAATTCGATTAATTTTAAATCTGATAACGGATTGACATTAGTTAGAGAATCACTGGAAATCAGGAAGTACCGGACAACTATTTCTTCTTATTTTGTTACTCTCTTCAGCAGTACGCTCTCAAGACCCCATCGGGGAGACCGAGCTCATGACCTTCAAGGTTACGAAACAGAATCATCATACAGCTCATAGATGGCTTTAGAATGGCTTCAGAAAAAGGCAAGCAGAACCACCTCTGTCTATTTCGAAAAGAAGGAGAGGATTCACATACTTACCCAATTCCACGACAACATCCCATGACATGGCACGACAAACTTCAAAAGTGATAATATCCACTGAATCATCTGAATTATCCAAATACGCATGATTTTGTAAACTTCCATTCCGATTATTATTATTATTATCATTACCATTATTATTATAATTATTACTAATATCCCAATTATTATTTGAATTCAACTCTTCAAAATGACTTCTGTTATTCTGTTTTGGTACTTTGATAAAACCTTCTTGTTTCATACTGACAGATGATGTAGACGATGATGATGATGATAGTGATGATTGTGGTTTCATGCTTCCTTTAATAACTGTATGATCTTCTCCAACCCATGGACTAGAACTAATATAATCCAAATTGATTGCAGTCCATGCAATCATATATGTGAATGTTATTATGATAAATAAGCCTAAATACTTAAGAATATCTTTGTCTCTCACGTGAACACGATGCGCTTTACGTGACTGGAAACCAGATAAAACTCTGAAAGACAAAGTTTTGAGAGGAGAGAAAGAAAAAAAAGAAGAAGAGTTAGAAACATCAAAGAAAAACTAAGTTGGGGACATGTTGTCAGTGGGATTCAGGACTCACATATGACTCGTCAACTGGATGTACCTGTAGCCCCGCCCCCCGCCAATGAGACCTGAACCCAGTACTTAACATTTCAAACGCCAAAGCATCATCCACTAGACGGCAATTGGGGCATAACGGCTGCCGCTCACCAAAGTACATCCCCGTCTGACGAGTCTCACACAGGACAAAACGCGAATCCTGGATTTCACTATTAGTCATCATCATCTCAACCAAATGATATGTATGGTAATCCTTAGACATCGTCGAAGCGTCCGTGCTAGCGTCCAATATGTCAATACAGAGACCGAACATTTCAATCAACAGGAAAAATTAAATTAAAACTAAGTTGGAAACACACTTTTGTGTTTGTGTAGATGTGATTGATTTCACAGCAAACTAAAATCGCTTGCCAAAATACTCAGCTGTTTCATACTAGCTTAATATTTTTCGCCAACGTGAATGCATGACGTAACCAGGGACACTATTTCCTGTTACTCTTCGGCCAATAAACAATATATAGTGAATAGTTTTCTACAGTGCTAAGTCAGACAAAAGAAATATAACTCTTGATCGACGCATCAGAACATTAAGCATCGGAATTACAGAATACCAGCTGGTTTGGAGTTTGTAAAGGCAAAAACCTGTATTGCTCAACATATATGAAAAAGGAAATGGAGATAGACATGCGCTGAGGAGGCATTCAAGTGATACCACAAGCTAGGTAGGTAGGCCGTCGAATGGAACCCGATTGGGAATTGGTGAGCTGATCCTGAGTCCGAGTGTAACACATGGAAGAGATAATGTGAGGAAGAAATGAAAGCTTGTGGGTAGTCATAGGAGCTAGATGAAAATGATGGGAGAGAAACAAGCGAAACGGAGATGCACTGCCGAAGCCCTATTTTCCCTTAGGAATGCAAGCATAATAATGGATGTTCGTTTCGACTTCTAATGGGAACACTATCATCACTGCTTGACGAGTTTTGAAGTAGGACGCCGCTGATCTCACCACTAGCTATCATCACCAGCCAAATAACAATAGGTTCAGGATTTCATCATGAGCTGACATTAGTTAGAGAACCATTGGAAAACCTGGGAGTACTGGACAGCTGTTTCGTCCTAGTTTGGGACTCTTCATCAGTACGCACTCACTTGGGTTCGAACTCAGGACCTTCTGGTTACAAGGCGAGCTCGTATACCATTAAGCCACTGGGACCCGATCCAATGGCCCATGAATTCTAACTTCTGCCAATTCACGACACAGCGCGACCCCTAGCCAATGTCTTCGGCTAGTATTTGTCCTCACGCCCGACCTGCTGCAACCTACTGGTCACGACTTCTCACTAGAACCCCAGGTGACTATCTACCTGAATAGGGCAAGTCACTAGTGAGCATCTCATTGATTTTTCAAGTGTTGGTTTGTAGGGATTTGATTGGTTACAGGGTCTCGCTATGTCGTGAATTGGCAGAAGTTAGAATTCATGGGCCATTGGATCGGGTCCCAGTGGCTTAATGGTATACGAGCTCGCCTTGTAACCAGAAGGTCCTGGGTTCGAACCCCGGTAGGTGCGTACTGATGAAGGGTCCTAAACTAGGACGAAACAGCTGTCCAGTACTCCCAGGTTTTCCAATGGTCCTCTAACCAATGTCAGCTCATGATGAAATCCTGTAACCAATCAAATCCCTACAAACCAATACTTGAAAAAACAATAGGTTCAGCTTCAGGAACCGTTGAAGTGTCCATCGTAGGAGCTGACATGTCAACAGAGACCCAACATTTTAGTGCAATAACAATCAATCGATAGGAAATGAAGATTAACTTTCAGATATTAAACATCCATGGAAAAATAAAACCAACAACATCAGCAACATAACATGCATGGGTAGAAATGTTCAGAAAGAATGTCAAGTACCTACCTACACCAAACATACAACTTAATGGAACCAGAGAAGAAGTCAAAAGCTTCTGTACTCCCAAGATGACTACCACTGTTTTCGACATAGAACTTTGCACATATGTGCGCCAGTTCAAGTCACCACACTCCCTCCTTGTAGCACACAAGGCAAGAAAACAAGTTAGGAGAAATGCATATTAGAGACAGTAAACAGAGGTGTGAGACAAAGGAATAGTAATAACGAAGAACAAAACAGTTTAATTGGAAATCATAAGTCACAAGGAGTGGATGCATCTGCACCAGCCATTGACAACGATTTTGAGCCATGTCACAAACTGTTTCCAAACATTGATTTTTACCGTCCCGAGGACCCCAACCAAGAAGCCAGTCTACACCTTCCTACGTGGCTGGCTTAAATTAACTGTTGTGGATTTCATTGACTGGTGCCATGTTTTCGTTTCACCACCGCTAGCTCTTTTCCAGCCTGGCCCTATATCAGCTAACATTGCCCGTCGACGAAGGCGATGACTAGGCATTCATTCGTAACACATGTCCTAACCATCTCAGTCGATGTAATTTCACAGCCTCGTCGATTGATTTCCCCTCCCCAAGCTTAACCTCAATATTGCTCACCTTATCATACCACTTCACACGGGAGTTAGAACGCAGGCACCTATGATCAAAGACAGCTAGTTAGCCTTCTCATGTCCTCTACTCTCAATGACCATGTTTCACAGCTGGCCATAAAGGAGGATGGAGCGAACTGATGTGCAGTACACACGCCTTTTGGTCGATAGTCGGATATCAAGTCTACGCCAGAGACGGCGTAAACTGGCATATGCGAAACTAACCCTCTGTATCCGTGCTGAGATTTCGTAGGAGATCAACCCGTTGGGGCTGATGGTACTTCTCAAGTAAGTGAAGCGGTCAACCTGTTCTACCACTTCACTTCCTATTTCTAATCTAGGGGTCGGTGTAATCGAATCCCGCAACATCATCTTACATTTTACAGAGGCGAATCGCATGCCAAACATACGAAGATTGCTACTCAGGGTGTTCAGAAGCGTCCTGGCCTAGAACGACTATATCGTCTGCATATTCTAAGTCAACGAGATTATTTCCTGGTAGCAAGTCAATCCCTGAGTCTCTGAAGTGAGTTAGGGTTCAATCCATTAGTACATCTATGATGAAGTTGAATAGAAATGGGGATAATGGTCATCCTTGACGGACGCCACTAGTCGTCACCACTTCAGATGACAACTCGTCGTAAGCCCTCACCTGACTGCATGAGTACGAGCAGAGTGCCTTAATCAGTGCAATGTATTTTCTCGGCATTCCCTTTACAGTCAAGCATCGCCAGAGAACCTTTCGGTCGACACCTAAGATGAACCACTTAATAAGGTAATGTAAATAAAATTTAAAAAATTAAACAATACAAACTCACCTGTAAATTTTTACAATTAATACACCATACATAACAGAGAAGCCAACTTCACGAAACCATGGAAGAATAAGGCATGAAATATCAGTAACTGGAAAGTACATAACGACAATCTAGACAAAAGTAAAACAATAGTATATATATCTTAATTGTATCCCATTTTGTTCAAAATATTAAAAATTTGGTTTCAAATGTAACGCATTGTCATCTACTCAGGCTATAGGATAAACTTATTTTGTGCGGGCTAATGATACCTACCTATCCACTTACCTAAACTAAGGTAGGTGAAGTGTCACTTGAAAATATAAACATGATATAATACAATGGGCATTTTGAAGTAATCTCTGTTGTGGCTAATAGATGTATGTGTTTTAAAAGACCGACATTATGCAGATTTTACTTAAAACACGAGCCGACATATAAGTTAAAGAATTACTTCAAACTAGCGAACAGTTTAATCGCTACTATCGTAAAATATTACTTTACTTTTTATTATTATAGCTTGATTCCACACCATATTTTTGATACAAGCATGGAATTTTCAGCATGTGATATCGGCCTAATTCTGCAGGCCGACCATAGATATCCGGTGTGCGTCAGAAGGGGATCGAACCCTGAACCATGTGCATGGTCGGCGAGAGTCCTAACCGCTGTGCTACCGACGCACAAACTTGTTATTTCATGTGCACCAAGAGATGCTTCACACAAAGTCTCATAGTTTGTGCGAGGACTGGAATATTGCCCGGGAGCTCAGATCGAAGCAAGTGGCTATCCTAAGGGATCACTCCTCACGAGCCTTTGAATTGAAGCCTGATCCACAAAACAGTGGAACAGTGTGTCATGAGCTGTGTTCCCATGGCTTCCGGTGACCGAAACACGTTCATACGCCATTTGATACGTTCGGATTCTGGAGCCAATGTACACCACTGTAGGTTTGTAATCAGGGTTTTATGGAGCCCCCCTAGGCAGACCAAAGTGTCAAACACTTCGGTTGTTGTTGGCGCCACATGTTTGCATTCACCCCTCCACTTTTGCGAGGAGCCCTCCCTGCGCCACCATGTGAAGGTAGTGATGAATGGGACTTACATGTCAGAGGCTGTGAACTCGTAGCTTTAGTAAAATAGAAGTTAGTCTACCAGCCTTTAGCTACAATAGAAAATCTTAGCCTCTTTGACTAATTAAAACAAGAAAAGATGGTGATAGTAAAGGGGGAAATTACGCATTTTTCTACCTATCTTTCATGATATGATTGATTTATAATAAGGATTCAACTGGTTACTATGTCTCATTGCTCAGTTGGTTGTGTCCCTTGGGTTGTTCCCTTGGGTTCCTAGTGGAACATAGGGCTTCAACTGCACACCTCCACTTGCTTCTGTCTTCTGCTGTACTTTTCACCTGCATCCATGTTAGTCCATACTGTTTCAACTCCTCTTCACATGATCTCCTTCATGTCACCCTTGAACGTCCTACTTGCCGCTTCCCTTTCGGGTTCCACTCGACCACACTGGCCTGACGCGCTATGTCACTCAGCGGTCTCCTCAGTGAGTGTCCAATCCATCTCCACTTTCTCCTGCATATTTGTTGGGCGATTGGTTCTTGTTTCGTTTGTTCCCATAGTTTCTTGTTGGTGATTCTTTACGGCTGTCTGATCTTGAGTATAGAACGAAGACAGCTATTGATAAAGGTTTGCAACCTGTTGGATATATTCTTTGTGACACACTGGCCAAGTTTCTGATCCATCCGTATAGAAGAACTGACTGACTTGACGTTTGTATTGAAAATTCGAATTTTGTTGTTGATGCAGGCTGAGTGACGAAGATTTCCAGATTGGTTTCAGGTTGATGAATGTGTTTCTCGCCTTCCCGATTCTCGCTCGATTTGACATCCTCGTCCATTCCCCCTGTAGTTGAGACAATGCTCCCTAGATAAGTGAATGAAGTAACCTCTTTCAAATCCCTCCCGTTGATGGTGATTGGCGCTGGATGTTGCTGCTGTTGTTGTTGTTGTTGGTTGGTTATTTTCATAACCTCCGTCTTGTCTTTGTTCACCTGGCGTCAGTCCTGTCTTTGCTGCTTTTTCGACCAGTTTGTCGGTTTTCGCTTGTAAGTCTTCGATTTTGTGTGACATCAAACATAAATCATCCAAAAGCGAAATCCAGGTCTTCTAGGTTCTTCACGTCGGTACAGGACATCCCTGTCTTCTCGTTTCCCACTGTCTGACGCATAATCCAGTCCACCACAATTAGGAATATCATTGGTGATAATAAGCACCCTTGTCTGACTCCTGTGTTTACTCCAAACGCCTCACTGAGTTTTCTGTTGTGGATAACTTGACATGTGCCGTTGTCGTACAGCTGCTGAATAAGGTTGATGAATATTTGGGATACGCCGTAGTACTCGAGTAGTTTCCAAATTACTTCGCGGTCAACGCTGTCGAAGGCCTTCTCAAAGTCGATAAAGGAAGTTGAGGTAGAGGTTTGATTGCCATTCCATGCTTTGTTCGATGATGATGCGTAGAGTTGCAATTTGGTCAGAACATGATTTGCCTTTCCTGAACCCAGCTTGCTCTGGTCAGAGTTCTGCATCCAGTGCGTCTTTCATTCTCTCCAGGATGATGCGACTCAGAATTTTACTTGGCGTCGACAGGAGCATGATTCCTCACCAGTTCTTGCAGAGTCCTAAGTCGCCCGAATTCAATGATAATTTGATAATCTGAAAGAATAATCTGAAATTGATAATCCGAATAGTCTTCATTTGATAAACAATGCATTTGTAAATATCCAGTTCTGCAGATCAAGGCGTACTGATGAAGTATGTAACACATTTACTAATTTAATTGAAACGAAATTGACTCCTCTCCACTTCATCCTGTCCTCCGCAGTCCTTTTAAGAAGGGTTCACAATTTCCCACAAGCCTTTATCTCCTCACACAATCTCCTCCATATCACACTTCCGGAAGTTCAATACGTTGTTTCTCATCCAGGTTCCACGAGAGGGCTCAATACATGATGTCATTCACAACAAACTCCTCGATGTATGTCTATTCCATCTCCCTCATCTTGTACATATTTCTTGCCCAAAAGATGTTTGGTTCATCGTCAGAGTTCCTTATTCCTAATCATTTCTGGCCAGCCACCTACCTGATCCTCAATATCGAACATAGGCAGTTGTCGATAGAAGTCTGCAACAAGCTGATCCACATATGAAGCCATTCAGTGACTTAACATTAGTATCGAAAATCCGAATCTTATTCTTTATGCAACCAATTTCCAAAATAAATATCAGATAAATGAAGGTCCGGCTTACTTCTCCAACCCTGCCTTTGACATTGATGCGCCCTATGGCACACTATATAATGTGTAGCAGAATTTGCGTAGGAGTCAGTGTTTGATTAAGTTTTCGTACATGTTAGTGATTACCAGTAAGCTGTATCATTCGTGACAAAGATCCAATAAGGAGAGGAGATATATGAGTTATCTCAATACTTACTTACTTTACTTTACTTCGGCTATCTCCTACGAGAGGATGAGCCGGCTTCATGAACATCTCGAATCATCGCTGCCCAGGCGCGGCGATCTGATGCAAGGTTTTGCGACAGGGTTGTCCAATTCTTGTTCCACAGACGGAGTCAGTAGACGGTTTGTAGCCCCAGGCACTCCATATCAGCCTTGACTGTACCTCGTTTGTAAGAGAGTTCATGAAGTTTCATGGGAATTTGGTACGAGTGATGTCCCCAGAATCACTCGGCCTTTTCTTTGAGAGTGCAGCTCTAGCCTTTACACAACCAAGTGTGACCTACAAGGCAGTAGGAGTGGAGTAGGGAGTCCACTATCCATTGGCAGCCAGTCACCGGAGTTCGGTTCATACGCCTTTCTGAATGGGGCCAGACATCCAGGACATCCAACAAGCCCTTTGTCCATACGTCTGCCGGTGAGCTCCAGTGAGCTTCATACGCCAGTCGTTGGAGGTTTGGAATCAGGGTTTATCCATCTCCCCTAGACTGTCATCCAATGGACAGTCAACCCGGTGAAGAGCGCCGGGCATCCGCTTTCGCCCTCTCACTTTGGTGAAAAACACCTCCGCCACGTGAAGGCAGTGAGTAGGACCTCCTCAGGAGAGACTATGTAAGACGCCCGGTCATATGGGAGCATTTCAAGAGGTGTGCGGATGGGTGGCCAACCCGCAGCGCAAGGCACCCACCCCCGACCATCCTGAGGCTTTGGAGGCTATCTCAATACTGCAGATATATATCTTGTTAATGAGTGCTGACAAGTATGTGATCTGAATCAATCAGGGATTTCCTATCGACTGAGTCTTCTCCACACATTTTACAAATATAACAGTCTCATCATAAACTTCTGAAATGATTTAGCAAAGTCGGAAGTGTTAAACCAAGCTACACACCAGTAGTAAGGTTACCTAACAATTTTAAATAATAACAATAGTCTAATTAAAATGTTTAAACTCACTGTTGAATACAAGAGAATCGCTCCTACAAGCATTATTTCCATGAGCACAAGATTAGCACTTTTAACTACCTAGAAGAATTAAAATATTTGTAAAAAAAGTGGAAAATTAAAGGTATTCAAACGAGAAAAATGCATGCACAATATCGTAATACATTAAAATTAGTGAGCGAGGAACATTCTTTACAAGTCTGATCATGAACTGATATCAATTAGAAAACCGCAGAGTATCGGACAGCTATTTCGTCCTAGTTTGGGACTCTTCATCAGTACACATCCATCACACCACCAGGGATAGGACTCAAAATCTTCAAGTTACGAGGCGAGTGCGTTGATCATTCTGTCAGTGAGGGGGAGTCCAATAGCCCATGAATTTTAACTCTTACTGATTCTCGATACATAACACCACCGCTAGCTAGTATCATCGGTGAAAGCCTGTTCTAACACCAGACTTGATAGAGTTTACTTGTCATCCCCCGTCTCGATATAACTCCAATGCACCATGGTTTTCAATGTTTCTTTAACTGTTGTCAGATTGTGATCGAACTTGAATTCAAACCTTTCCCTACAAAACAATCCTTGACAATATATATTTCCATAAGTTTCTTCCGCTGCAAATTATGCTCCTTCTTTGATCTATTGACCCCTGTTGACGGAAGTTTTTCATATTTATATGGCAAACGTAAGTTATACAATCTAATAATAATCTGCAATAAGGGTAGAAACATAATTTTTTTAAATATCCACTGCTGCGTGAAACAAGTAAGGCAGTTAGGGTGGAATCTATATCCCCGAGAACTATTAATACGTTGATAATCAAAGATATTAATCCTGTTTTATGCAGTAGTTGTTAGTTTGAAGTGTGTAGAAAGGTGAGGAATGCCTGTTTGAATTCTAAACGTCCGTCATATTCTATGGTCAAGTACTCCAGGTTGTTATATCATTGAGGATTCGACAGAGCCAAGTAGATGATGCATCTTCATCATGACAGGAGCATTCAATTTACTTATATTTGTTTATCTGTTTCACTTTTTATCCTCCTTTTTATACCTCACTATGATGTTTGACAAAATTATTTTCATTTCGCACTTCACTTTTCTTTCACATCTTATTGGGTGTGCAGGTATGAAATTTGGGCAACATGAAGCACTGTTCAGTTATGCCACATCTTATGTTGATGTTTTCTTTTTTGCCATTCCAGGTGGAACATAGGGCTACAGAGGCACATTTCCATTCAATTAGATTCCCTGCTATCACTTTTAGCTGGCTACACAACTGCTCACAAGCTTTCATTTCCTCTTCACATGATCATCTCTAGTCAAGCCTCGGACACCCGACTCGGAGATTCCCTTTCAGGTTCCACTTGAAGTCCCCCACACTTGGTGTGCGGTGTAACCTGAATGCCACCTCAGTGTATGTCAAATCTAGCTAGATTCTCTTCTGCCTGATGTGTGAGGTCTCTCTTACCTGCAGTCTGTTCAACCTCAACTGTTAGTGAGTCTTAAAAGAGTCTTCTATGCTTCATAGCACTCTTATTCACTCCTCTATTCAGATCTCTATGGTTATACTCAGCTTCTGCTTCACCATCTTTCCCTCCTCGATCAGCTTCTAGGTGCCCATAACCAGCTATTCCTTGTCTTATCTCTTCTTCTTCTTGTCTAAGATTTCTATGTTGCTTGTTTATTTGTTCACTTGAGTGCACGAATATACTCTTTCTTCTAGAACTAGATGTAGATACGATGGAGAAGATTTATAGAACAGGTGAATAATTTTGATGTAGTTGTGTTCTCTGAGCTGGATGATTTATTTGAGGAGTTTTCACTGCTTTCACTAGGCAACATCTTCAGCAAATACTTCAATTCGAAGTGAGCTTTAAGATTTCTCCGCGAGTTTATTAGCCATTTCCCCTGGTAACCTTGCACTTAATTGGTTGTGTTTGCGTGTTTTCACACCCTCTAGGCTACTTCTATTGGAACTCATTGTTTCTTTGACTTGAACTTTGACTCTTTGTGTGTGTGAGATTTCTTTCTTATCAGTTGATAAATTTTGTCTATCTCGATGTGTCTATTGATTGATGATTCACTGGAATACCCGACTGGTTTCTAAAAATTCTCTAGCATTCTTGTTGTTTCCTCTGTCTAATATTTGAACGTTGTTCCAGTCGAATTGAAATCCGTGGTTGTCTGTGTGCAGTGATATGAGGAAGTGGATATCATGTCTTTTGACGGCTAGCTTATGTTCGTGGATACGAAGGGGACGTTCACTTTGGCCAATGTAGTGTTTTTCGCAGTTGTTACAATTTATTTTGTAGATGTTGATGTTGGCTTTATCTTCTTTCGCTGTTGAATCTTTTGGTTGACACAGAGCTGAATGGAGTGATTTTGTTTGTTTGTGTGCGACGTCAATTCCTAAAGGTTTGACGAGTCTTGCAGTGATTTCTGATATATCCTTTATATATGGCAGGGCGACTTTCTTTGTGCTTTCCTTGGGGTCTCTTGGTTTGATAGGTTGGCTTGGGGGTATATGTCTTTTGATGGAATTCCGTGGATACCTATTCTTTTGAAAGACGTCCATGAGATATTTTCCTTCAGTTTTCCTTAAGGTGGGAGTGCTGCAATGAGTTCTGGCTCTTTTGAATAGTGATTGTATATAGATCCTTTTGTGTGTTATTGGACTGTTGCTGTTGTAATTGAGTATTTGATCTGTGTGGGTTGACTTTCTATAAACTTGAGTTTCTAATTTTCCTGTGGTTGTTCGCTTGAATTAGACGTCCAAAAATGGGATTTCGTCCTCGAATTCCTCTTCTCTTGTGAATTTGGTGTCGTTGAAGACGTTGCTTATGAAGCTTCAGCTCTGAAACTAGAAACCATATATGTTCCACTCAGGACGTAAAGGAATGAAATAAAATTCATCTGATTGAACGAAAAGGGAAATTAAATATATTTCAACAGAGAGAGTTAAATAAGGCTGGGTAAAAAACATTGACTTACTCGTGCTCTACGAATTTTAAACATTGCCATACCAAATAGTAGACAAATTGTAATACAAAAACTTTGAAAAGCTAATGGAATAGCTCGAAGTAGATTGTAATCAAATTGTGCACTACAAAGTTTATTCGCTTTACACTCTGAGCAGCCAGGTGGACATGGTCGACAATAAAATCTTGGTGGATCAGCTTCATTACTGGCTAAAGCTGCTTGAATTTTAGCCTCAATCAATGGAGCAGAATAACCCTAAACAATAGGTTTCAAAATAAAGAGGAAAATACAAAATAATAAGTGAACAGTCATCATTTCGTATTGATGTGTTATAAATACGCATGTCGACAGGATTTTGAAATCCACTCACAGATATTACTTTCTTCACACACAAGTATCAGAGTAGAATTTATGTATTGGGATAGAATATATTTCTATATTCGATAAGTAAGTTTATTTAATATAGTATTTTGATTTGATTTTGATTTGCAGCTTGATTCCACACCGTATTTTCAGTACAAGTATAGAATTTTCAGCATGGATACCGGTAGCCCAAATTCAGGCCGACCATAGATATCGGGTGTGCGCCGGCAGGGTATCGAACCCCGGACCATGTGCATGGTCGGCGAGAGTCCTAACCACTGTGCCACCGACGCACAGTGAACATACAACGTTGTTAGCTGGATGACAGTTCAAACACAATTTATTGCTCATAATCATATGCATAGGGTTTAGTTGAAGAAGTGAGTACTAGTTTTCCCTCAAGGAATATTCTCTCTATCGATTCATTAAAACAACATTTTAGAATATCTGTAGAGGTACTCAACAGTATTCACACAATGGCCTCATTAATGTGCATATCTATAAATTCAACTACACATGTACAGCTAGTTACATTGACCGTACTCAGAGGGCTTTCTGTCTGCCTGTTTTCGACATAGAACTTTGCACATATGTGCGTCAGTTCAAGTCGCCACACTCTCTCCTTGTAGCACACAAAGCAGGAGGAGAAAGTGGGAGAAATGCATATTAGAGACAGTAAACAGAGGTGTGAGACAAAGGAATAGTAATAACGAAGAACAAAACAGTTTAATCTGAAATCATACGTCACAAGGAGTGAATGCATCTGCACCAGCCATTGACAACGATTTTGAGCCATGTGACCAATTGTTTCCAACCATTGGTTTTTACCAAGGAAGCTAGTCTACATCTTCCTGCGTGGCCTAAACTAACTGTTTTAGATTTCATTGAATGGTGAAGGCATGTTTTAGTTTGACTGCCACTCTCTCTTTTCCAGCCTGACCCTATATCAGGTAACATTGCCCATTGTCGAGGAAGGCGATGATTAGGCATACGTAACACATGTCCTAACTATCTCAGTCGATGTAATTTCACAGTCTCGTCGACTGATTTCCCCTCCTTACCTAGCACTCGACGCCTAACCTCAATATTTCTTACCTTATTATGCCACTTCACACGGGAGATAGAACGCAGGCACCTATGATCAAAGACAGCTAATCTTTTCATATCTTCCGCTCTCAATGGCAAGGTCTCACAGCTGGCCATAAAGGAGGACGGATCGGACTGATGTGCAGTACACACGCCCTTTGGTCGATAGCCGGATATCACGTCTACGCCAGAGACGGCGTAAACTGGCGTATGCGAAACTAGCCCTCTGTATTCGTGCCGAGATTTCGTCAGAGATCAACCCGTTGGGGCTTTATCCATCTATGACCACGCGAACACGTTTCTGAATGGTTGAGTAAAGGGAAAACCAGATGTGTAAATAGTGCAGTCTTAGTCCATTGGGTAGATACTACAGGACAATCAATAAAACCAGAAAAGACGTTCTCGGTTATCTACCGTGTTTCTGTTAATCTATCTAGGGGGGCTCGGTTACGCCTTCTGTCAATAGCAGAGAGAGAGAGAGTAATCGATACCAGAAGACCTAGTCTCTGTACGCAGATGGAGTATGTCTATGTTTACGATGGCCAACAATAAGGTGAACAAACCCTCCATAATCATTGACGCTTCAATTCCTATCCCACATTTTTTCTTTTCTCTTCTTTTTTCCTTTGTTTCATTGACAAATGTTTACTTAATATTTTTCACAACTTTATGACATTTCTGATTATCTCTACTACCCTAAGTTTTTACGTAATGCCTCTCAAACTTGTTATCATAATTACACAATCTTGTTCATTCCCCTTCATTAACTTCAGTATTACATCTCTCGTGACCAGTATCTTATTTTACATGTAAACATCAATTGTTCTGTTTTTCCGCGACAGTTTTCGCTTTTCTCAACCTGTAAGGATACCTCTAACGTAGATTGATCGGACAAAATTTCAAAATCCGAAGTACACTACTTATTACTATTAAGTAGGCAATTTTCAACCAATAAATGTCACAAGTAATCCTCAAAAGTTTCATCTGTCAATAACATCAATTGTATCATATGACGTTTTTGATTCTCAGCTGAGATTTTTTTTTACATTGGTGTGGACACAAACTTATGACTTTTTTTACCACTCAGCAGTGTAATATAAACCTAATGTCTGTTTAAATAGCAAACAACTACTCTTGAAAGTTGACTCGATCTGAGAGCATTGACACTGGAATTTAGAAGTTATTGAATGTTTTGTCATACTGAACAATTCACCCTTATTACTGTCCAGTAAGGTGTAGAAGATCTACTCCGATAATTTAACCGGCAAGACCAAAGTATAGAGATATAAGTATAAAACTTGGGCACTGTGGTAGAGTGTAACTACATTATGGATAAGATTTTATTTTGATAAATCACATAGTGTTACACAGTAATATTAACTGATGAAATATCTAGTCAATTCCATACATAAATGAAGGACAAAGTTGTGTGAGTAACTTGATATGATTATGAGCAATAATTTGTGCTCGAAACTTCATCAGTTAATATTACTGTGTAACAGTGTGTGATTTATCAAAATAAAATCTTATCCATGAAAAAGTATAGAGACCCAAATGAACAACCAATCGAATGCGCGTGAAAAGTTTTGCTTCTTGTGTGTTTATTTCACGCTTCCTGAACACAAGAACCTTTTGAAGTATGCGCTGAAGATGTTGCCTAGTATGGCAATGAAAGCTTCTCAAATAAAATATCCAGCTCAGAGTACACAACTCAGTCTAAGTGCAAAGTACTGTTACAAGATTGGCAGGAGCCTGTACCTGCACTCACTATTGCGGGTGAACCGCTTGGAGTTGTTGATAAGTTTGTGTATCTGAGTAGTTGTGTGAGTGCTGGTGGAGGGATGAAGGATGAGATTTCCAACCGTATAATGAAGGCTAGGATGGCATACATCAACTTGAGACACCTCTGGCGCCGTCACGACGTTAGCCTGGCTGTCAAAGGTCGGGTATACAATGCTTCGGTGCGGGCTGCCTTGCTCTACGCCTGTGAAACCTGGCCTTTCCGAGCTGAGGATGTGCGGCGACTCTGCGTGTTCGATTATCGCTGTCTCCGCAGGATTGCTTGCGTTCGATGGCATCACCGCGGGAGTGATTCTGAGGTTCGGCGGTGTGTGTTTGAACACAGTGGAGATCACCATTTATTGAGTGTCGTCGTCTGGAAACACCGGCTCCGGTGGCTTGGACATGTGCTGCGAATGTCACCTCAGAGGCTTCCGTACAGGTCTCTGTTCTCAAGCTCTGGGATGGGATGGAAAAGTTGCAGAGGTGGTCAGTCCATGGCGTGGCGTCGTGGGATGAAGGATATTTGTGCTAGATTAGCATCGGTTGGTGTGTCACGACTCCCTGGTTGGGGTTCGCGAGATAGCTCGAATCGATGGCTCGAAACGTTATCGGATATGGCCAAGAATCGTAATCAATGGCGAAGGTGTTGCAATTTCCTTCTTTCTTCCCTTCCTGATGATAGTTAACGAATACTGTTTGAACTTGTGAAACATGACTGTTTTCCTTCCAGATGGAGCTCTTTATCCGTTTTCTACTGATATTTTTACTTTTAATCTATGTTGTTTTATTATTATTGTGTGGCGCATCTTTCTTGATGCCATATTGTACCAAGTTTTCCTGCGTTTAAATAAAATAATAGGCTGTGCATTGACTCCTGTGGGAAACGTTACCCATAATACTAATTACAAATTCCTAACAGTATCACAAGGCACACTGATATACTACAACTGAAGTATAACTTGAAATTATATAAAGGTTAGATTTTCGCTTATATCCATCTCTATATATATCTAACAACCGAGAACACATTGCTCAACAAATATACGCAAATATGGAGGTGGATTGGATACACGGTGAGGAGACACCAATGAGTGACATAATGCGCCAGGCCATCGACCGAGTGGAACCTCAATGGGAAAGGACTAATTACACGTTAGAGGGTGGGTGATATGGTGGAAACCATATGAGAAAACGAGAGTTTATGCGCGATGGTGGGTGATTTAATTGCGAAGCTTTCATCATTCTCCTCCTCTGCACAACATATTCAGAACTTCCTTCAAAGTGAAGTATATCTTTCTGGGGGGGGGGGAATTCTGCATGAATAATATTACTGTATCTCCGAACAACAATACTAAGGTTCAGAAGATAATCAAAGTTTCGAAATCACACCACCATAGTGATGCGAACACAAATACACTAAATAAGTAAGTGATCATCAACAAAACAAAACAGGCATACGTTAGACCAACAAGGAGACTACTATAGCATATCAGGACTTTGTGGACGACGTATGTCATACAAAATTCAAGATTTACAGGCTAAAATCAACAAGTTGGCCGAAGAGGCGAACACCGAGAAAAAGAGGTAATGAAGATAACCAACCACCAGCAACAACAACAACAAGCACCAACCACTACCAACGAGAGAGATATTTGAAGGAAACCGTCTCTTTCACTTATTTAGGTAGCGTCGTTTCAAATACATGAGATATAGATGAAGGTGTCAAAGCGAACTAGGATCCGAAAGGCAAGGCTGCACTAAGTATCAAGAACAAGATTAGGATTCTTAACACAGTGTGTCAAAGCAGTCAGTTTTTCCATACTGCGCGCGTGCCACCTCAAGCATTTCCAAAAGTCTGCTGTATACTTCCATCAACAGCTGCCTTCACTGGCTCTATACTGCAGATCAGACGACTAGTTGGAAGAGGAAAAGCGCAACAGATAACTTCGACTGGAGGCCGAGTAGAAAAAGGAGGAGTTGACAATTTGACTGTGATATTGAGATGATCGTGTGAGGTGGAGGTA